TCATCTTGGCATTCAAAATACTACAGAAAGCATAGCAGGAATACATCTATAGTCCTATAGTATTCAGGAGAAACTATTTTCTTCAAGCTCAGAGAAGTTCTAGGCAGAATCCCTGGACAGAAATCCCCTAGAAGATTTCTAAGGGAGCTTCTAAAAACAGATACTGAAAGTACAATTGCATAGCAATCCAATGAGAAAAATGCTGGGGGGCAGCTTAGGAAATCAGTGTGATTTAGGAAGCTTTCGAATGAGCTAAGAGTAAAGTGCACATGTATGGAAAATGGAAGATGGTATAATTATCATAAAGTATACCAGTAAGTATTGCCTAGGGCCTGGTTACTTGAGGGACTGTCTGTCTCCCATGGAATCTGCCCAGTCGCTCCAATCTGGCAGGGTCCTTTGATTAAACAAGGCCATCTATCAGGACCCTGGAAGTGTACCTCCTCCGTAGCAGTGCCTGCCCTCTGGAAGGAGATTCCCCCCAAGATCCCCAGGGCTGGCTCTTCCCGCTCTCCCCAGCACCCAGAAGGTGAACAAATTTCTTTAATTCCATCCCAAATAACAAGGCCTTAATCAAAGACTATAACTTTTGAAATCAAAAGTTGTCAACAGAAACTCTATACTTACATGACTTATTATGTCATAGTTTCTAAAGAGAAAATTGCTCATTGGTTTCTAGTTTTTTTTTTTCTTAGACTGACATTGGAACTAGATTAACTTTGAGACTTTGAGTTCTGTAAGACAGCTATATATTTAAGTTAACTGAGAGTTACAGTTTCAATATTAAACAATCAATTATTTCAAAGAAAACAAAGAGAAAAAAGATCCAAAGATAAAATGACATTTAAAATATCAACAATGTAAACAATGCCCAAAGAGATTCATATAGTATATACATATTAATTCAATGCCATCCAAAACTTTGCAACATTAAATACAACAAACATTTTTTATCTGACAAAAGAAAGTCAATATAACGTCAGCTGTAAAGAGAAGAATCTTTGTTGAAATGGCAAAGTATGGGATGTCATATAACTACCCCATTGACACTTAGGAAGTTTCATTTATTCCCTGATGTGCTCCAAGCTCAGACTAATTTCACTTTGGTATTAATTACTAAAAGCCTTTTTTTCTGATAATTTCCTAGCCTGGGTAAATTCTAAAATATATAGACAATAACAAAGAGACCACTTCACTAAAGCTGCTTGAGACCATGAAGACTGAAATAGGAGAGACAGGACAAGAGGGATCAGCCATATGGGGAAATAATGTCATTAATCCCATAAAATTAAATATTAGCAGTCACTCTTACATCAGTCTTCAGATGACCAATGTCTCATCTCAGGATTATGTTGGATAAACTTTTAGCTGTTCAAATGTTGTTCTTGATTTGCACTATATACTGTAATTGGGACAGTAGTAGTGGTTTACTGTCCCCCTGAAGAGGGTGAAAAGAAATGAGGCAATGTGGAGGTTTAATTTATTTTATTCATTTATTCTCTTTATAATGTTAGATATAGCCCAAGAATTTAATTATTTTAAAGCACCTTCATAGGGGCTCTTTTTTAAACTTTAACTGATCTAATTCCAGGCATAATCCTGATGGGAGTCTATTCCACTATTCCAGAGTCGGATGAGAAAAAGCTCTTAATCATGATGTGGCTATTGTACTAAGGACCCATCTCTGAGCCAAACAGCAAATGAGCTAAGGATCTAACAGCAAATAATTTCAGAGCTGCAGGAATGCACTGTCTTTCGATTCAGTATCTGTTTTCCTATTATGGATAAGATTAGTCTCCTCCAGTTCAAAAACAGTTACCAACCTAACCAGTCTCCTAGATTTATGAGATTAGTTAATGACTGTCATTGTGTAAACTAAGTGTTTGTAATATATTTGTTACAAGTTGGAATTATTTTCTCCAGCCAATATTAAACCATGGTTTTGATTTAGAGATTGTTGCCAAACTTAGTTTGTCTCCTGGAATGAGTTCAAATGTTCACACAAAGCATAAATTGGTTTTGTACCATCAGATCAACGTTGATTCTTAATCACACAGAGGGATGTTTTCCAGGATGATCTGTCCCCTTTCAGATCTTACAACGATGCACTCATCACTGCTATAATCAAATCCATTCAGTTTGCTGCTGGTTCTATTCTCTCTCCCCTCCTTTTTAACATTTACTGTACATGAAACCCCTGGAGGAGGTCATCCACCAATTTAAGGTTCACTATCATGTATACTGATGATATCTAATTATATGTTTCAACCCTGGGCCAGCCAAATGAGGCCATCAAGATTCTGTCCCAGTACCTGGAGGCTGGATGGGTTTAGATGGGCTGGGTGGGTTTGGATCTCTGACTCAATCCTACCAAGATCCAGTGGCTGTGGGTGTTTGGGCCAAAGATCCAATCTTTGACATTGGATGGGGTAGCACTTTCCCCTTCAAGGTTGGTGCTCAATCTGGGGGTCTTCCTGGACTCACAACTCCTTCTTGAAGAGCAGGTGGCAGCTGTGGCCAAGAAGGCCTTTGTACAACTCCATCCATATTTTTTCATTGTGCATCTTCACCTTGAATTACTAGATTTTGCACATTGTTTGCATTTGATGTAGCAAGTAGTATCAGCATAACACAAGTTATGCTTCCTCAATATATATTAATTTGAGCCTCCCTCAGTATATTTTCAAGTTAAGCCTCCCTCAATATATATTCAGCATATAGGTTAAATAAATAAGGGGAGAGTATACAGCTTTGTCTTAATTCTTGCCAACCTGGAGCCATGTTCTGTCCATACTGTGCCTTTCTGACCTGTGTATAGGTTTTGCATGAGGACAATGAGATGTTCTGGGGTTCCCATTTTTCTAAGCACGTTCCACAGCTGGAGACTATTGTTGCAATCAAAAGCCCTTCTATAATCAATGAAGCACATACTGGATTCTTTTTGGTATTCAAAGCACCGAGAGGCAAAACAAATCCTGACTTAGCATTACGTATGTGTAATCAGGCCCTTTGGATCATGCAATAGCTGCTCACGATCAATCAATCAATCAATCAATCAATATCCTTTACATCAATTAATATCCTTTATTACAGTTACTGACCAGAATTTTGTACAGTTTCATGTTGGAAATTACAAGACAAAGAAAAATTGAGAGAGGAGAAATGAAATAGTAAAATGAGCTAAAATATAATATAGTTGCAATTATTAAAATCCTAAGAAAAAGAAGCTAAAAGCTAAATTCTTAAACAACTGGATAATTAGTATAATAAAATGGTTAAAAACTAATATTGAATTTTACTGTTTGAAAAGTAATATATGTATATAATAGTCACAAAATATAGTTATGGTCGCCTTGAGCCTCTGGCCACTGGGCAAGAACTGCCAGTTTTCCAAACATTACAAATTGCTCGAAAATCTAGACAAAGAGGGAGGCAGAGTGGTCATGTGTCTCATTCGGCATAAGCACTTATATGTTTATCTATCTATTTATTTATTTATACGTTTGGCTGCCTGTTCAGAGAGATCCTTCAAATGAGATGTAATTCTTATTTCACTCTCACAGCTTTCCAAGTTGTACCATCAGCCTCTTTCTGCATTATAATAAATCATATCTTTTGAAATAACTATAAGTTTGTTCAAATGTTAAGTAAAAGAGCTTCTGAATAATATTTGTATGCTAAGATTTCTTTTAGGTAAGAAATCCTAGAATCAGACAATTACAAAACAGAAGTATAAGAGTCAACCTGATTTATTGCCCCAAACTGCATATTAAATACCAAATTGGAATCCCTAATGTATTTCTTATAAAGAGCTGATTTCTGAGTGTACTTTAGAGCAGAAATTGACAGGCAGCAGGAGATTAATGATTATTTTATTGTTTTTCAGTTTAAGAACAACCTTTGAGGCATAAATGTCACAGAGGAAAAAGGAATAAACTTTTCCCAGTGTCATTTCTCTGTTTAAAACCCTGCACTTTCTCCAGGGCTATCACATCTGCAGAGGCCCTGATAACTCCTAGATAGGAGGAAAGGGTTAGTTTTCTGGGTATCTTTGATGTAGATGCAGTTGCAGCCCAGATAAAGTAGCTCAACCTTCTCTGAAGTTTTGACTTGTTCTGTTGGCATTTCAGTGTTTTATCTCATGGAGCAAAAAACGGGAAGGGGAATGTCACGTGGGTGAAATGGTCTCTCATTTGAAATGCCAGTGCGTTGGAGGGGTAGGCAAGGTTCAACTCATAATTGCTATTACATTTTAACTGTCTTAGAAAAATGTATTTCAGAATGATAGATTTAGATGAAATTATTTGAACCAGAGTAATATCCTAATTTGATGTGGAATACACTAAAGAATTAAGGGGACGCGATGGCGCAGCGGCTTAATGACGCTGAAAGTTGCCGGCCAGAAATG